GAGAAACGAACGAAATATTAATTTATTTTGAACTGAAATCCATATTAATCAAAGATAAATTGAAAGCCAAATTGGAAGCAGAGTTAGCAATGACAGTTTTCAGACATTTGCGTGCGATGGATAAAGTGAAAAAATTGGAAAAGTGGATACCAACTGACGGAGGATCAAAAGTTGCAGTGTTTGGAAGTGTGCTCATCACGTAAAACTCGAAACAGTAAAAGTCCATTTTCGAATAGAATAACCTGTGATGAGATAATACTACAATACGATCCGAATGAATGATCGAATGCCAATTTATTTTTTTATTTCGAAGAAAATAATAATGTAAATAAAAATAATTCGTTATTCTTTTCTGGGACAACTCGCCTATTCTTCTGCATGACATCGCTCAACGAAAATTAGCTGGATTAAAACAAGAAATTTTAACCCAGATTATTCATTTCACCACTCGATTATCACTTATTTTGTTTTCGAAAAATAAAGAAGTTACTATTAAATATATAATTCTCTGAAACGGAAATCAACGTTACCTCCCCCTATACACCCAAACCCACTACTTTCCTCGATATCCTCGATTACCTCCTCCTCGATACCGATTCCAATCGAAGAAAGTGGGCTCCTCTTCCGTGTCTCGTTCCAGCATAACCCGCACGAAAGAAACCGCGCTTCGAGGAACGCGGGACGCGATGCATATTAAGCGCTCGACCTCCTCTTTTTGCCATCTTGAACCGAAGCGAGCAAGTTTTTCGATCCGGTTGATCCACCTCCGGACTGACCGCTTCCAAGCTTTTTTACGGAAATTTTTCGCTCCTCTCGATCTTGTTGCGAGATTGAATGTTAGATGCGGCAGGTGAACGAGCCGAGGCGCTCTGGTAACCGATCATTGAAATTGTGGGCAGGGCAGGCGCTAGGCTGCTTGGCGCCCCTGTCTGCATCTTTAGGATTGTTTTGCATTGTCATTAGAAAAAGATAGTAACGACAAGTTTATCGTAACGAAGAGAAACAGTATTATTATTGCTATTATAATATTTAGCATTGATTAATTAATTTTCTTTAATCGTAATTAATTAATTAATTGTCAAAGCGGTTACGTTCAAAAGAGATTACACTAACGTCTTTGCTGTAGATCATTGATCAACAGATTATATGGATATAACATTTTATGGATCAACGTTGATAACGTTTCGAGAAGTGGCAACATCGAGCGACACTCTCATCTATATGCAAATTTATGTGCTTTCGAGTACGTTAACGCAAAAGTATGGGCGTATTTGTGTTAATGATATCGGAAGGAACACGAGTAAAAAACTTGTTTGCGACTGATTGCATTTCTCAAGCGGAGAATCTGTTACAAGATTCGCTGGATGTGGTAATTTTAATATCCTGGGGCGGAGTCGTGTGCAACGTTTGCGACGTTTCTCAAGTATCGTTTCGCGACATCTGACGGGGAGGTGACTGCTTTGGAAATTAAAAATCTGCTCGCGACATCGTGACGCCTTGATATTGAACTTTGATTCTAAGATGGCTGGATGGAAACGTGGCGTTGTCTTTATATCCATAGATAGGCACAATTCGAAATTTTAGATTAAATTTATTCAGACCTTTCTGAAAAAAAAATTTGAGAAGATTTATTAAAATTTTAATTCAATAACAGTAAAACTTTCCACGCTTTATTTCGTACGGAACAATTTTCTGAATCGTTTCTATTCAACTATTAATTTTCAACGTTCCAATATATATATATATATATATATATTCCATTGTTCGTATATTCGCTCCCTGCTTTCATTTTAAACGGCTTCTATCTAGCGGCATACACATCGGATCGAATCAGATCGGAATCGAGTCGACCGGCTCGGAAAGGAAATCGTCGAAAATTCCCCGATGGCTGTAAAGGAGATTAGCCAGGGCGGAAGGAGGACGTCAGAGAGCGGCGACATCCAATTAGAGGGAGTACGTGCTCGGACACTAACGAGTTTTAATGGACTCGGTCCGAATGGTGGCGTGGCGGAGTGGCGCATTGGCAGGTCGCGTCAATCAGATAGCGAAACGCGGCGGACACAGAGGGTCGCTCAAGTGCCGATATCCTCCGATCCGGCTTCCTGCTTTAATTTAATTGGACGATCGCCAGTCGCGCGTGCCACCTGATAAATAATTAACGCGTTTGGACCGGGATCGATTATCAAACTGGCTGCCCTAACCGAGCGAGGGAGAGATCCTAGTGCACCCTAGTCGTTGGTCTAGTGCTCCCTAGGATCGTAAGTCTCGACTCGAACTTCTTATTCGTGTATTAATTATGTCGTGCGTATCGGTTGAATAAGTTGAGACAAATGAAATAGAAAAATATTCACAAGTATTATTATTCTTTGCAATTTTATTAACACGTCTAGGGATTAATTGTGCGAGATCTAGTGCCATTCTCTTTGTGATATTGTGTAAATATTCTCATAAGCTAACATTATATGAAGATATATTTCATTTATGTCTAAATCACGAGCAGGGAAGAAATCTAAATAATTGGAAAGAATTTTAATCACTATATTGATTTTTGAAAATTATATAGACAGTCGTAGCTGGAAAGCTAGTACTCCCTAGAAAATATCTACATCTCAATGTCACCACAATTGCTTTATTTGCCAAAGAGGAATGATCTCGTTAAAATGTAAAGTAGATGGCGTTACATCGGCCATTTATCCAAGAATTTATGAATTAGTTTTCAAAGTGGTTTGTATTACCACGTGTACACACTCCTCGTCCAATCCGTACGACAGTATATATTTTTCCATCCCATTCGACGAAGTAACGAACACGCTACTTTCGTTTCCAACATTCATTCGATTATCATCGATCCATAACGTGATTGTGGCAAGTCTCTTTTACGAGCTGGCATTGATTCTTGATAAATATAAACTACATATGCAAATCGTGATGATAATCGAGCGAATAAAACTCGATCAAGGAGATACATGCAATCAATAATTACTAAAAAAAAAAAAAAAAAAATAAGAATTATCATCTAGAATAATTCAATAATGCTTTCTGCGTTTCATACCGTCTTCATAATATTTTAAAATTGAAAAAGCGAAAAAAATATCGCGTGTGCATTGGATGGTGATTCGATGAATGCTTCTTTTAAAAATAAAAATTAACACGCGTAATGGCAAATAACGCGTTTTTATGATGACTGCTTATATCCACGAATAGTGATTAAGTAATTTGCAAATAAATTCGAAGCGATTCAAAGATTATTAAGACATTATCTTATTTGTATTATTTTATGGATAAATGTTATTTGAATAGAAAAGTGATTTTTAAGTTATGTACTTTCTTATTTCATACAATTTTTAAAATTTTTCTAATTCTTATACATCGTTTGCCACTATGATAAGATTACTTTTATTTATCTTAATGATAGATTTATCATTATAAATAATCTTTTGAAAAGGTAAATATAAAATTTTAAAACTTTGAAAGAGTGACACTTTTTTAATTCAATATTCATAACAATTTGATCACTTTATCCAATTTTAATTGGAAATAAATAAAATGTAGGTATCGATTATGAATAAAAATATAACGATACACTTGTAGTATCGTTTGTATTTAAAATTCGAATCAATTTTCGTCTCGAAGATGGAGGATATAATAAAGGATAATAAAAGATCAATGGATGAATAATTGAATAACCGATGATTTCACGTAAATAGATTAAGTTAAAGAATAATAGTATTTGAAATAATTGTATCTAATATAAGAATAATAGAAATAATTAAGAAACGACATATGAGGAATAATTGAATGAAAGGTATAAGAGAATAAAATGGAGAATAAAAAGTTAATATGATGGAACAGGTGAACGGTTGATAATTAACCGTTTTATGAGAGAATTCTTTTTATATGGGAATCGATACAAAATAACCGATCGTTTAACCGTGTAATATTATCGAGTTCTTTTGGAGAATATGGAGAATAAAAACAATGTCTGAAAACATCTTGATTCTGAAATTACATACAATAACATCCATACGTTCATTATTGAATGCTTAAGGATACATTCCAGAATTATGAATAATATAATTGCGTTCGATTGTATTATTAAAAAAGGATTCAAATAATTAGATAATAAATTGAATTTTTGTTGAACACATTGCTCCAAATATTATTTTTATATAGCTGTGTAAAATTGAATGTTTAAAGAGAGTTAAAAGTTAAAAAAATTTTTCAATTAATGTGATAAAACTATGTATTCTGTTTGAAAGAGTATATGAATTTTTATGAGATTCCACTGCACAATTACAAGGTTAATTAAATACTTTACAGAGAATACAAAGTACTAGGATATGAACAATTTTAATAAAAAGTGCATATAATTAATATTCATGATTTATACAGCATATGTTAGAGATTGAAAAATATATAATAGAAGTAGAAGTATAATGTACACACCATTAACACACTTGATCAGCAAGTACATATTAGTTTTTTCAATTATGTACTGCATTATTATTTAAGTAAGTTCAGCACAATATCAAAAAATAGACACGTCTATTTGACTTTTATTTATCTAATCTTTATTTTTATTTCATTCCTATTTACACATGATTAGCAGCAATTGTGCATCATTTAGTACAACATTAATTTTCAATATTATACTCATTCCTTTTATTTCTTTCTTGTTTGCAAATTAAACACATCAAAAATCTCGTTACTTGTTAATCAATGATAATAATTATCACAGTTGTTACAAAATGATATTATGTTTTCTCGTCACACAACACAATCATTATATTTTACTTCTTATCTTTCACTTCGCACAATTTCACAACAAACATTGTACAAACTTTCAAATATTTCTTAATATAAAATTTTCACAGATCATTTGTATCACAAATCTTCACAAAAATTTATAACAACGATATTATAGACATTTAATTTTTCAGCGCATTTTGTAATGCAAATAACGATAAATTTTCATAAAATATTTATATCACAAATTTTTGCAAACATTTTCATAAAATTATCGAACGTTTGACGCCACGACACGCAGCCCCTCAGGCTCCTGTCCTTCGATGCAATTTCTCCGCACGATAGGTCCGCACGTATAACCGCGGCGATTACGAGTATCGAGTATCGCGTAAAATTGGTCAGAACGTAGGAGAAGGGCTCGCCATTAAACATAATATACGAGCGGGTAATATGTGGCTGATCCACTTTTTCGGCACTTGGTCGCCCGTCTGCCGATTCCGCCTATCGAGAGGCGGCACTGGATCCTGGCGATAATTTCTACATACACGAATTTCATCGGAAAAGAAAAGAAAAGGATAATGAATGATCGATGGAAACGATACGAATGAAGCGGTTAATTTTTATGAGATGACCGCCGCGAGTAATAATCCAATTATCTGCGAGAATAATCGTGATCGGTAACGTGATAAAGCGAGGAACATATTGTGCGGTTAATTGTTTCGCTTGCGATGCTCGAGGGCGAAGTTTTGAAAGTTTTAGAAAAGTGATATTGCGAAGAAATATAATGTAACGATATTTCTTTTGTTATTCATTTTAAATGAAATAAAAGTTACTTTATTTAGCAATATCTAAACTATATTAAACTGTGAATTTGATCAACGAATTATTTGTATTTTATATTTTATAAAATCAGAATATATGGATAAGTTAAATTCTAACTTGCAATATAGTGTCAATTTTTTAGATTCATGGTTATCTTAAATACGATTTTTCATTGGTATCAATCAATTTGTGCTACTTTATGAAAACTAACTAAATTTTGTGCTTATAATAAAAATTGTAATGAGCTTAAACAAGATAAAATATAACTTAAAGTATGAATACATACATAGGCATATATAACTTTTTATGAATTTATAAACATACGTACGTTATACGTTCCATAACCTATTTTTCCGTTGACATCTTCGTCGATCGAGCAATTATTCTTCCTCGATAGTCGCAATAGTCGTCTTGTCCCTTCCCTTGACAAACAAAACATTAAGTTAGCAAGTTTGTTTCACCATTCACGAGTCCCTTTTTCGAGGCTATCTACTACCTCTTTTCTTTTCCGAGACATGAGGCAGACAACAGTAACGTAATGGCACCGTTGTTTCGTCGAGTTTCGAAGAGCTGTATTACGAACTTCAGATAAGAATTCACACGCGACCGGCATCCAAGCTTCTCCACGAATAACTTCACCGTATAAAGCGTAGCTTTAATCTCGCGCAAGAGTAGGGAACCATTCCATATAATCGAAGAAATGTTTGAACAGCGATCGATTGCTCGATCTTAACGGGTCGAAGAATGCCACTTATGCGCCGCCATGAATAGTATCGTCTGCTTAGGCTACTGGCCTCGCGCTAGTGCTCCCCTCTGACGAGACCATGCGACGACATTCCACGACTAGATTCCTGAATTTAATGGCGCCGCGAAACGGGACGAAAAACAGGCATGATCGATAAGAGTTTAATATGCTGTAATTGGCGTCCACTGGAGATTCCTCGCTCGATATATGGTGTTTCTTGGTATACATACGCGGCGCAATAATTTGTTCGGCTGTTTTTCGTCCAGGCACAAATTGTGCACGAACTTGTCTGTGTGAATTAATAGTGGATATATGTGGATAAGTGATATGGTAAAAGTCGGTGTAGAGTAAAGATAACATAACGTCTATTAGTAATTGGATTGTTACTATTTGCGGATAAAGATTAGGTTAGATATGCGTAACGATTTATATTGATTCGATTAGACAAATATAATTATTTCTATATTGCGATTATATACGGTTTTACAGATAATGGAAAGTAAAATACGAGTTCGAGAATAGTTTGTGATGTTATCTGTGATGTCTTAACACTCGCGTGTAGATAAATCTTTTATAACATTTTGAGACTATGAATGTGCTGATGTTAGTGACATTCATTGGTCGTATTTATGTTAAAATTCATTTATACTAATCGACATTGTCTGCAAAGACGTCCGCACATACTGTCTGTCAACAATTTCGTAAGATCATACATTATGTACTTTAGAGATGAGAAGCTGGTGTGCTATTTACAAACTTTTTGGCACAAGTGCAAAGGCTATTCACTTAGTCTCATTCATTCTTCAGATTCTTATCGCACTGCATATAGTAAAGAGGTTATGATCGGTGCCTCTACTCTATTTATGATTTATTATCGTTTTTCTTTATTAAAAAATATCTCGTTAATTAAAAGTAATCAATCGTAGTGTAATCTGTTTCTGTAAAATTGTTATAATTTTTTTAGATATGATTAAAAAGAGAATCACTGTACTTCAATTTCAACTTTTTTTAGAATTGGGAAGAACAGTCACACGTCACGTTATAAATTTAAAAGGAAATTTTATATAAAAGTGCGATAAAACATACACGTTGAAAATTTATGCAATAAACAAACGAAATGATATTTCACCACGTGACCATACCTATTTTTTCCAATCCTCTTAAAAATCTAAAGCCGTACACGAATGTAACGCACCGATATCAAATTTCTCGTGTTTCCACTTTTAGAGATAACGAAACAAAGCCCAGACAAGAAATCACGTCACAAAGTGAACGCGCGTTAAATTACAGCTCCACGGGTTTAATAATAATTTCTTATCCGAGATCGACGCTAGGTGGCCACACAGTCACGGCGAGACAATAAACCTCTTTTACCATAAACCTGTCGTTTGAACACGTATTCGCGCAGCTGTATCGCGATATAATTAATTTGCGTGATTCACGATACACTCTATAAATGCGTGTACGTATAATTTTAAAACACACGGGATCTTACCGTATCTTTTAC